AAAATTGCAAAGATTTACTTTGAGGCAATATTTTGTCAAAATGGAATTGACGTACCTGGATCCATTTGATCGGTTTGCCAGGAAGTAGATTGTCCTGTAGACATACTAACAGAAGGTTTATAATATCCCATTTCACCACCATCATCACCAACACTCTCTACATCATCTTCAGCTGATGATATAGAACTCATAGTTGTTCGTTTTCTCTTGTGGGGTGTATGACCTAAGAGTAAATAGTATAATATATCATCATAATAATATCAATCACAAACTGTTTGTATTATATCAAGGTTGATTATGCATTTTTCTCTTGTGAGATTATGCTGGATGTAATTTTACAGGCATCAAATACACCCCTAATTTCCCAACAGGTCTTCCCGTCATACATATAATTATATTGATTGAAAGTATGCATGAAAAAGAGTTCACTAAATAGTTTAAATGTTTTATATAGATGACTTGCACACTATAATTGGTATAAGTTAAGCAAGGTAGAATTGGTAGGGAGCTGACAAAAATATTATACACATTATATATATATACTTAGAAGGGAGGTTCTCCATGTTATCAAACTGAATAGTTCTGGGAACAAACTTTGAAGAGAGGTTTCAAGCTTACAGAGCCCTATCACTCCACAGACCATCAGTCCAACTTGCTACCTCCTGCGCACTAACCCACTGCTCTATGGTTTTCAAATTATCAATAAAAACAATACTGCTGAAAATTGTTCTCAATAGTGTCTCTCAAAATTAGAATTGTTGAATTACCTGAAGGACTTAAGGCTGATTGTCCATTTGGAAGATTGTGATGCATTGGTACCATATTACCTTGATCTTGTGGACTATAAGAATAATATCCTGGACTTTCAATTTTCGGTGGAGGTAACATGGTATGGGTTCCATTTTGAGGCATCATTATGGAAGCTAAAAATAGAAAAAAACATACAAATCATTTATCGTTCTCCTATGCATTTGCAATACTTAAGCAAGCATTAACACATTTCTATTGAAATAATATATATCATATAAACAATATTACCTATGTGCACTCTTCAAAAAGTGTTCCAAAAAAAACAAACCCCACTAGCCACAAAGTAATATTTCATGTCCCAAAGAGAGAGCATGTCCTTCCCCACTTGTGACATACAAAAACTAACAGTACTAATCATAGTGAAGCTCAAATTAATTTTTTTAAAATTGCAGTTTTATCATTATTTCAAGGTCAAGGCCAATAGAACGTTGGCAATATATCATGATTATTAGCTATTATTATTATTAATTCTCTAATATATTACTTGATTACGGTTTCAAGGTTTGGAGTCAAGAAATGACAGATACAAAATATCTGGAGTATTACACCCAAAGTAATTATTACACTGTTATATGTGTAACATGCAGTATAAAATATAAAGCATACTTACACCTAGTAACAAGTAATAATTCTTTGGCTGAGAAGACTCCAGTTGCCATAATGCTGTCATTTCCTGACACACCTGAATGATAATTACCTGCAAAATACAAGCAATAAATCGTTTTGTTACGGACAACTAAATTATGATTTGTATTGATTATGGTAGAATTAAAAATTTGACACCATAATTATTGCAAGGTCTCTTGGGTATTATTGTGGTGATTATTTTGGCTTAAATACGCAGATTATTGCCAAGACTGGAATATTATCATGAAATAACTTTCATTGGCCCCTACAATATCATTAATTTCAATTTGTTTCTTGTAATGTTTTCTCTCTTACCAGTTTACACTTGAGCACTTACTTTTACCAAATTATACAAGTCATATTTAATAAAAGTTTCAAAATGTTTAAATTTGAGATTGATCTCCAGGACTGTTGTTTTACTACATATATTGGCACAGAAAACTGGTGACAAATCTTAATTTTACAATATAAATTACATTTACAGTTTATGCTTAACAGAATCAAATGCAGAATATGTCTTAGATTTAATACCCTAACATCAGACAATTTTCTAGTTTCACAAAATTTTTTAAATGTAGAAGTTTGATTGGATAGTATGCTTGCAAAGACAGCCAACCGGAGCTCTGTACACAGGCAGCCATATTGTTAACATTTACAAACTTCTTTGATAAAAGAAAATGCTTTATGAAGTCAAGGTAATAGACAGAGTTAGTAATGCCTTGACATTGGAAATATGGTCTGATATATTGTTATAATTTTCATATTGAAGACTATTGAATCAAATAAACAACCTAGTCTATAAAATGAGCATCTGTTAATTTTTATCAATAACTCAACAAGCTGTTGTCCACATTTAAACCCATCCATGAATTTATCAACATTTTCATCAAAAATCATTCATAGAATTCACTAGAACATATCTAATTTCATTCTCATATCCATAGGGTTCAATTTTGACAGGTCTTTTAATAACAACTGATATATGTGAAGAAAATGTTCTGAAAGTCAATTCTTTGAAAAAAAAAAATAACAAAATTTTATCAAATGCAAAAATGGTCAAGGAAAATAACTCCAGATAAATGATAATTAAAATATCAATATTCAGAGAAAAAATATTCTGTAAGGTGTCAGACAGACATGAGACAAAAACAAACTATATCTTCATATCTTTGAAGATGTGTCAAAAGCATAAACTACTGTGACTAAAAAAAAAGTTAAGTAACTTGTACAAAATCAAAAAATATTTACACCAATATTTGCACAATGAATAATCAGGATTTTGGTATCTCTTCCTGCCCATGTTCTTTACCACAAGTAAACCTCTCTCACAGCAGAGTCTGGCTAAGTGCAAAACATTGCATGATTTCAAATGGGAAGTGAATTGGTTTTGTTTAGCATGCATTGGTAGTTCAGTTTTTACACATTTGCAAGTTTGCCAGATCCACACAAAGACATGAAAAAAACTATCAGTTGGAAAATGTAAGTATTAACAAAAAGACAAGGTTGTAAATTCATACAGAGAGAGTTGTCAAGGTTAACATTAGAAATATTTGATTTTAGATGTGCATGTACATGTATTTTCTGAAATCTTGCAACATATTTTTTCTATCATGAATGAGTATCTTAAAGAATAACTGTCATCAATTCTAGATCAATCAATTGCATACCAAAGTATATTCTTCTATATATGCTGACTTGAGTGTTTTCATCATAACAATATCATGTCAATCATTTTTTTTCTTATTGAAATTATCATGAGCAGTACAGAAGTGATCACACATGCCAAAATTTGCCTCCACAAATACTACCTGTTGATTGGTTAGAAATCAACCAATGCTCTTTGTCGACAGAAGGAAGTTCAGTCAGTAGGAAGACAGAAATTTCAAATCAAGCATGTCTGTACCAGTGATTTCAGAGGTCAAAACTCTCTTTCTTAATTACAGTCACTTGACTAGATAATCCAAAAAAAAATATTGGTTCAATTTGTAATCAATCGAGTTCAGTCACGATTTGGACTTCAGAAGTCAAATATTCAAGACAGGCAATTGGATCACAATTCATTCTCTTGTAACAGATACATACAGATAAAAAGTCCTTTTCATTTCTTTTTTACAGAATTGCATTTCTGAACAATGGTTTAAGGTTAAGAATTCAGTACTCCAGGAAGCAAGCCAAGTTTACATGCAAATATAGTTGAAATAAGTCTTGCCTAAACTGGCCATATTGGCACATCATCAGATTTGAGGTTATGATTTCAAATACACATTTGTGTATTGTCAATACCTCAATTGTAGAAATTTTGGCACAACATGTGAATTTTCATTATAACATTACAACAAAACAGGGAGTTGTATAAAGCTGTGTAGGTCCCTTAAATATATTCGCAAATTACATAAATGTTATACCAATAATATCAATGGTGTATAAATCTTGCAGATATTTTTAATAATTGGTCGGTGTGAACTATATGAAATGAATTTGTCTTACCGCTGTCTGAAAATCATATCTATCAGTGTCTTAGTATAGTTTGCAAGAAACTGGGACTTGGTAGTTATAAATTGGTACATTCAGATTTAACTGCATATTATATTAGGGCCAGCAGTGACTGTCCGACAGATTACAGCACACACTTCAAGCAGTTGTAGATCAGAAAAGCAGACTTGTATCAAGCCACAAGTCAAGGACAAATTGTCCCATTGCCTGCTTATAAGCTTTTTGGGGGGCTACTACAGTATCCTGTGATATTTAAAGCACCACTCAAAACCTTGAGAGTAAAGTAGAGATCAATATAAATCAGTGTTTATTACAATCATAATAGATTCAGGAGGGGGCAATATAAGTGCAAGTCTGTTGCCCACATCATATAATATTAAATATATAACAAATTACATGTTTTCCTACTGTTAAAATAACACTTTATGGAAAATGTTTCAGCTGTGTTTTGTGTATCATTTCATGCTTTTATCTACTACCACATATTAGTAAAGTATTCATACAAACCTTTTATATCTTGTTCACCATTGATAGGCATATCACCATATTCACTTCGTGGATCTGAAAAAACATCTTGATACATTGGTGATACTGATAGGGGTGGAAAGCTGAGCGACACTGACCTGGCTGACAATGGTGATAGAAGCACGGGCAACAGGCTCAGATACGTACGATTTTGTCAAAGATCAGTATAGTTCCTCTACATGTTTTAGTTTGTGTTGGTTTGTGTTGGTCAGGCAAGATAGAGGTAAAAAATGACAAAAAAACAGAGGTCCTCTGAGGCAGTGTGTCACATCGGGAAAAATTTAAATGGTAAAGCAATCACAATTCATCCCATTGTACTACAGATGGAGTATTCTTTCTTTTGTCAGAAAGCAGTTGTAAAACTTCATCTCCCTGGTGTTAAAAATGGTGCAAGGTCTCTCTGTTTGAGCTAGAAATGGAGTCAAGTCTCTCTGTTTGAGCTGGAAATGGAAAGATCTCCAATATGGAGTGAACAATGGAGATGACAATTGAGTAGTTGAAAATGGAGCAAAGTTTCTCTGATGAAGTTGATAAGGGAGTAAAATCTACTTACCATAACTCTGTATAAAGTTAGCAAGATAAAGATCTAATTCGCGAACTGATACACTAATATGATGTGGATTAACACAGATATTGGGATGCATACAGTCTGGAGATTTTTCTAACCGTTCTCCATCAGTACTTTCTAGAGGTATTGCTTTAAATAATATCACCATAACTAGGTCCAATCTCCACACTTTGTCGGCCTGCCGTAAACAGTCAATACGACGCATTTTTCCTTTTTGATCTGGATTGCTTAAAACACATACAGGTGGACGCTTCCCAGTAATACTGAGCACAAAATCTTCTCGACATTCCTGTGTTATATCTTTCCGTAATTTCGCTAATAATCTTGACGCCCATTTCTGTTTAACTTCCGCCTTTTCACTCTGAAAGATTGAATTTCACTTGTGAGATGAGTAACATACCATGTCTTATGGCAATGTTCCTTATCAGAAGTTGCCAATAAGCATGCCCATACTAAGCAGATAAGGTGGGGCTTTCTATACTCATTTGCCAATTAGCCAAATATTGCATATCTAACTAGCTCATACATTGGAAATTTGGATGCAACAATATAACATGGGTATACAGTGTGGAAAGTATTTGTAGCAATCTGTCCTTCATTTTGTCACAAGATATGCTATGTATATCCAAAGCCATAAATGCATGAAAGTGATATTTAAGTACAAATAGCATGGTTTATCTGAATTTTGATTTTATTCTTGATTGTAATTTATGTGCTACTTATTTTAGTGGAGGTAGTTTCATTTGTGCATCTTTTCTGTATTATAAGATCGCGAAATCCAGAAAATATCCATTGACAGAGCCATCTACATTGCAGTGCCCTATATAAGCAAAAAGGCATATCGAAATAAATGGATATTGTACTGGTAAATAAAACCAAAATCTACCTGTAATTCTTCTTTAACTTTTCTCTCTTCTTCCATAGACATTCGTTTATCATTTTTCTTGTAATATTTGCGTTTATGTGCTTGTAAATTAAACCATGTGTATGAAAAGGATCTAACATGTGGCAGTAAGGCCTCGATGAATGGATGAAATTCATCCTGAAAATAGAAATAGAATATATCTAGATTAATCATTACTGTATGTCATTAAAAACTCTCACAAACACCTTAATAAAAACATCAAACTGTTCAGACATAAGTCATAACTTGAAACATGATTTCATCCATTTGTTAAGTTTTAGCGAAATAGACCTCAGAAATTTTCACAATTATTTGAGATGGTTACTAAGAAAATAACAAAAGTCATTGAATTGTACACAGTACATCATGCATAATACTGGAGGGAGGAAAAAGAAGCAATTTATCCCAATATTTCTCACTGTGGTTGCTCTTAAGATGAATATGTCAGTATCATACACCTACTATTCATAGATTTCAACTTTTATCATCAAATTGATATCCAGACTAACTGGAACATAATAAGTTTAATACGAAGATGTTTTCCAATTTTTTTCTCAACTGAGCAATAAATTGTCTGTTGTCTGTGTAAGAGATATAAGACTAGAGTTGGTTGGTGAAAGTTATGTGGTTAATATCATTAAGTTCACTTGTTATATGGCTCTATTGATTCATTGTAACAAATAGCAACAAATACCAAATATCATTAAACAAATTTCTTTTTCAACACAATAAGTTTACACTCGATCTATAAGCTATGGAATTCATATTTCCCTTCAGTTATCCTTCAGTGAACAGTTAAGGACTGTCTGAAATATGTGTCAGCAGCAAGAGAAGGGCGCTAATAGAGTTGAGGGTAGAATATATCTATTATTACTCCCCACTCCTAGTCATCGAATTTGCTTGCTTTGCTCAAACGTCAAATTTTGGAAATTTCACCCCCATTTCCAATAGAGCTATCTGGTGAGGATTTTTATCTGAAACATGTTGGCAACATGAAAACAGACCTGGTGTTTTATTATGTCAACACTAACAAGTACAATTTGAAGGTGGATAAATGCAGAGCATATGCCAATCCATTGAAAGCATAGGAAGCCTTCAAGCATTTAGATATGAGGGTATTAAACTTTGGGAAGCATAATTATATTTTATACTAGTCCCTAAAAATGTTCTTTTTTATAGTTCTTTTTGGCCTTTTAAAACATACCAATTTCCTTGATATCAATCAAATCCAATCAAGCAATCATTTTCCAAAATTGAGTACAGTATTGAGGTGTACAATGAAACCAGAACTCAATCTTTGTGAGTAAAACATCTAATGATGTCAAAATATTTGAGAAATTTCATGTTATAATGTAAGCAGGAAGGTAAAATTGATAATACATGAAGTAATAACCTACAATGAGGACAAAATTCGATTTATTCGATTTTTCATTGAACATATATCCTATTAATCGGAAAATATTATCTAAATATTTTCTTTTAGATCAGATGATAAGAGCTCTTTGGGCACTAATATACGACATGAATTACGCTGTACTATTTAAGCTTTTTTCAAAAAAGGCTTCTGAAAAACAGGCCCCTCTCCACCATCTAGGTCAGTTTTCACCCCGTCTGCTCAACAAACTACCATTTGTTTAACTGTTTAGTATTTCTGTGCTAATTTACACATTAACTGGTCAGAAAATGATATTGTGGTGAACTTGTTTCAATATTGATACAATAATCCAATACAAGCTATCAATACATAGTAGCAATACATCAGGTAAAAGTACATGGCCACCATAACACATAAACCCTGTTTCCACTGAGAATTGTAAAGTAAAGCTAGCTGATTCCTGAACGACTTTGAGCCTCAATTACAAAGTCGCACATTATTGATGTAGGCAACCGTTTTTTCCAGTAAGAAATGCAATAGACTGGAAAGATCAGTACGCCCCTATTGCCGAATGACAAAAAGCTGGCTTCTGGTCCCTCATAAATTGCTGAATGCAAAAGATAGGTTTTAGGTTCCGGTTCGGCCATTTGCCCAGTGGAAACACATGAAAACTAGCTTAAAGCCGTTTTTCCCTCAGTAGAGTCACAGTTAATGTCAAGTATGGATAACAGTTAAAGGGATATAGTCATCTCACTTGTGCCTTGTACAAGCTTATTATAGGTTGTTGTGAACTGAATGAGTTAACCAGCCAGATTTAAGACCAATTGACAATGTAAATACACTTCAGAGTAACAACATTTTTTTTTTTACAAATCGTACTTTAGTCTCAGAAAAGGGAATAATTAAGCTAAGCCAATCAGTAATAGTGTTCACAGCTTAGCGTCAAAATTTGAGACTTTAATTCTATGTGCCTCCAGAATTATCAACATTCAAAGGTACCGTACTCTGTGATATATAGAAAGACATATGTAGAAAAAGTGAGTAAAATTTCTAATTTGAAGTATCTTTAAAGGAATTTTGCAATATTCGTACATTTCAAGTACTTCTGAAGACTATATTCAAGACTATATTCAAGACTAAAATCAACCACCCAAAATGTCGCATCAGTTCCTTTAACAAGAATAAACCGCAATTGAGTAAATGGTTTCATCACCAAATTAATGTCCATTATCATTAATGACATTGACTAAAATGTACTGTTTATTTTTATTGATGCTGATATTTGCTTGCTGGCTAACTATGGTTTCAGGTATTAAGGGGTGAAAGCTGACACCGGGCCCACTGCCGAAAGCACAGTCCTTGAGGGAGATTCAAAGCCATGGCACCCAATTGCCCAGAATACGATAGTCCAACTCGCTACTGAGTTATTCGACTGCCACAAAAAGACAGTGTTCCAACCCAGCGTTAGAGGGAAGTATTGATGTTAACAAAGTTCGAAAGTTGCTAAGATTTGATCCCAGCATAATCTCCAAGGGAAGATACCTTTGCATTTCTCTATCCTGATAGTAATGCCTAGTTCAACTTCCATTCAAAGGGGAGTCAGCAGACTAATGTCTGTGCCGACTGGGATGAGTTCAGAAACCAAAAAAATCCTGAACAAATAAGCCTACTTAGTGTGGTTATAGAGTAGAATCTGCTACTTAATAAAAAACTAGAACCTCTAAACTTTTTGAATTCTTGTACCCCTGTCCACAAGGAAAATCTCACTGTTGTAATAGTGTTTAACAAAAGCTTTGCAGTGAACAGGTCAAATTTCAGTTGCGACTGGCAAAGAAATTGATCAAACACCATGAAATTTTGCAACAATTATCCATTGATTGTTAAATGTTAGCATTGATTGGCCCTTATCAAAGCATTTTTAAAAAAAAACATCTAAGTAGATTCTTATGAGAACCCCTCATGTAAGCTTTCTCTTATTCTTATGTGTTCCCGGGCAGTGCTATTATTCCAGGTTAGACTTTAAATACTTGACTTCAACAGGACTAGGCTAAAAAAAAAAAGGCCTAATAGTAATACTGGTAGGCTACTGGTCCCAGTCTAACTTCAAAACAAAATGCATCACAAATTTCTCTATCCTGATAGTAATGCCTAGTTCAACTTCCATTCAAAGGGGAGTCAGCAGACTAATGTCTGTGCCGACTGGGATGAGTTCAGAAACCAAAAAAATCCTGAACAAATAAGCCTACTTAGTGTGGTTATAGAATAGAATCTGCTACTTAATAAAAAACTAGAACCTCTAAACTTTTTGAATTCTTGTACCCCTGTTCACAAGGAAAATCTCACTGTTGTAATAGTGTTTAACAAAAGCTTTGCAGTGAACAGGTCAAATTTCAGTTGCGACTGGCAAAGAAATTGATCAAACACCATGAAATTTTGCAACAATTATCCATTGATTGTTAAATGTTAGCATTGATTGGCCCTTATCAAAGCATTTTTAAAAAAAAACCATCTAAGTAGATTCTTATGAGACCCCCTGATGTAAGCTTACTCTTATTCTTATGTGTTCCCGGGCAGTGCTATTATTCCAGGTTAGACTTTAAATACTTGACTTCAACAGGACTAGGCTAAAAAAAAAAAAAGGCCTAATAGTAATACGGGTAGGCTACTGGTCCCAATCTAACTTCAAAACAAAATGTATCACAAACTTTTCACAACATTATTCAATCATTGTGTGTGAAAATGTAATAAAAATACGTACTTGTTCCTCCATGCAGAATTACAATAATTAGGATCTTAATCCGTTAGCCACAGAAGAACAGAAAAATCACGATTATTTGACTTCATCTTGGAGGGTAAACCCCCCTGTTGATGGAACCACAAAATGTTGTCTTGGAACAAGGTCCCACAGTAACCAATTTTAAAATCCTGTGAACAGCCTTACTAGGAGCGTCAAAGTAAATTAAAAGATGCAAACGGTTTCAGGAATCACTTATACACGATTTAAACAAATGGAATATCCTCTATTGCTCAAAATAAAGTCGTAATTTCATCGAAACTTTTAATTTGCAAAGGCACGTCATAACACGATTGTCAGGTAGCAGCCATGTTGAAAAATAGTCCCTACTATTAACCTTTCGTTTCTTGAGAAATAGCGCAATAATACAATGAAATGGTATCAAATCAACGGAAACTAATACTAGCGTAATTTGCCATTAAATTATTATAGAGCATACGAAAACTGAAAAAAACACAAAAATTGACATTGGAATCCTTTGGCGAATGGATATTGTCTAATACTCACCATGGTCATTTTCCGTCGAGGCAAATCGCTACTCCGTTACACATTCGTTTATTGAGAACGGCTAATCCGATTAAAACTTATATGCAATTATCATGCATGAGAATTTGCATATCTATGTTGTAATTATAATATTTAATCCATTCGAAAGTAGGTCACATTTAATCCCACAAGATTATAATTTCATAATGACGTCGTAATGTTTTGAAGAAGGCCGAATATTGTTGTCATTTTCCATATTTGGAAGGAACGTATCAAGTCTCAGATTTTAAACCAATCAAATTACACTGGGTAAAATAGTCCCGTTAAAAATAGAATTGATTGACAGGCGCTTGTTTACCTTTTAATCAGGCTTCTGAGAATCTCTGAGTAAAATGCAGTAGTTCTACCCTTTTAACAACGTTTTTATTCAATTATGATGATAAATTATGCTCTCTGAATATGACATACTCAATATTTTAAGAAATTTATATACAGGTAGATGAAAAACGATCTGACAGAAGCCACGCCCCTAGCACGAGGTAGCTCATTCATAGCAAAAATAAATCTTGCTCAGCTGATCTCCAGGAAACTGGCCAAGAAGAGAAGGGCCAAAACTACGAAAGAAAACTTTTTGGCAAGAATATTTACACATTACTACGATGGAGAGTGGTATATGAAAGTAATCTAAGATTATGAATGAAAATTCCTGTGATTTGCCAAAATAAATTGGAGCAATTTTTATCCACAAATGTAGGCCTGGGCCAACACGGTGCATTTTACCACCACAGACCTTGAATCCCCAATTTCCCCCGAATTAGAACGTTTAAGACAATTACTTTAATGATGAAATATTGTTTAGACGTTAATTACTCATGCAAACAAACTTGGCATAAAGAAAGGGTGAATGAGCCTAATGTGGCAATATTAGCTTCTGGGTCAGTTCTTTAAAGCCCTAGGTGAGACAAGGACATCCGAAAGTCTTAGGTCAACATAATATATAAAGAAAACTGAAAAGAATATATTCTACAAAATGTTTTGACGCACAAAGTCATAAGTTAATCTTCCGTATAGACTAACCACTAGGCCTATATATACCTGTGTCTATATCACGTACATTATAGACCTATTACAGTGTTTTTGAACAGTTGCCTACAGCATAATGTACTAGTGCGCCTATTCCTAGTGCCTCTAGGACGAGAGAAAGATCTACCTCCTCTGGCTCCACAACCCCTTCACAAATTTCAAACTTTACACTTAAATGTATTTACAGATCCTTCAAGTATAGTCCTCAATTTGTAAAGATAAAACACTAAAAACGTAGAGTACAGATTTTCATGGATCAACTTGGAAAGTTTTAATTGAAAATTTCTTAAGATTGATTAAATAACCGTCATACCTACACCATACCCACCCCCACGCTAAAATACCATCTAACCAAAGTTAGTATGATGTAGACAGTCTACTATAACCTAACACTCCCTTCAGATGTAATGGTACGGAAAGTTTTTTCACGTGAATAACTTACAACATGGAAGCAATTCGATAAGAAAAACAGAATTTATATATTGGTAAGTAAAAATGATTTACGCAAACCACATGTCCAAAATGAATATAACTTCTATTTATAGATTTGTGTTGAGAATCATATTAAAAATGGAGGTAAATTATCTAAAAACGTGATAGAATGCCCGGTAGGTTCCAAGATAACAAAATCTCAGTTCTTCTCTTTCTTTCATCCTTTCTTCTTTATAGTGTATTTTAATTCTGATACGCTCATGTTTTTTTGTATCAAATATATGAAAGATGCGAAACTCTATCTCATTTTTTTTTCATACAAATAAGAACTTTTATATTCATGACCAAGAACATTTGAAAAAAAACGTGCTCGGTATGATGAGTGATCATAGGATCTTAAAGGCATTTTTTATGTTCTGGCCTATTCCTTATGGTAACTCGTTGTGTTATAAAGACCTATTGATGCTAACTCGTTATATAAAGACCTATTGATGCTAACTCGTTATAATGTACCGACTTCTTGATGCTAACTCGTTGTTATAAAGACCTATTGACGCTAACTCGTTATATAAAGACCTATTGACGCTAACACGTTTTATATAGACCTATTGATGCTAACTCGTTATATAAAGACCTATTGATGCTAACTCGTTATATAAAGACCTATTGACGCTAACTCGTTATATAAATACCTCTTGATGCTCACTCGTTGTTATAGAAATACCTCTGAATGCTAACCTTTAACATAACTTTCGAAATTCTAAATGTCTGGTTTAAATCTAAATGATAATCATGAGTAACGGTAAAATAAAAAATCTGAAAAAGGTTGATTTTAAATCCGGATCGATGAGTTTGCCATGTTTTTTTATTATTTTTCTTTCGTTGTTTATTCCTGTTATCAATTGTAAGGTAAATCATGTCGATTGGTGAGTGTTAGTTTTGTAACCACAAGAAATCAAATCAAAAATGGAGAATGCCGAAATACAACAAATTCTTACAACAAAACGTGATTTAATATTATCTCAGTGCCCTCTGTATTTATTTATTGTGGAAAGTTAAAATTGTAAAAATCTGTACATTTCTCAATTACAATTAATTTTGTATTAAATTGAAGATAATAGTTTACTCGATCACCTCTAAAATAAATACAAAGGAGATGCCAATCCTGAATTGAAGATATCCTTGTATGTCAGAGAATTTAAGCCAAGCAAAAGTAACTCCGTTCAAACTATGGGGATATTATTCTTTACTTCATGGGATTTGCAACCACAATAATTCCAACATTGTCGAAACGATACGTCTCTCTATGACATATCAATGCTACTTCCAGTTTCCACAAAACTAATTCCAACATGAGAATTTTAGGACTTTATGAAACTTGATGAGTTCATATAATTAGAGCCAAAACTGAAATTATATAGACATATAGATGATATAAGAGAGATCTCACACAAGAAAGGCGAATTTTTACTTTTGGTATATACAGCTGAAATACTTTCATAAATAGTTAACACTGTTTCATCAATACAGTAGTTGTAATTATAATATAACGGTAAGATCAAATAACCCCAGTTTGTAACGGTAGTATAGATTATTACCATAGTTTTTAATTCTCAGGTGGGGTATGTGCAGTTCGAATTTTGTGGAATCTGGGTTAAAAGTTAAAGGTATACACTATCAATTTGCAGCGTTTCGAAATATTCCTTTCCTTTGAAACGTATCCGTTGTGGCATGAAAGCAGAACTCGCTTCAATCGGAATTCGAATAATTTTAGATATCTGGTTAGAATCTATAATATCCCAGTTTAAATAACCACAACTACAAAACTGGAAAATATTTCTGCGTATTGCAAGGTTTAGACATTATTTCAATCTATGTAGCCTAAAAAGTTTCAATATTATCTATTATGTCTCACGGCATTTCACATTTTCGACTTCCTTGTATTTTGGGTAATTGTTAATAATATTACACGTGTATTTTTGAGATCCTGTGATATATATAAAAAAAGATATGCTCTATTACAAAGTTCTTTCTCATTGTAGTATGTTAGGAGGAACCATGAGGAATTTATGGCAAATATACCTGAACCTACTAGAAAGACTATGATGTTACCTGTGGCGAGATAAAAGTAAGATATTGAGTAGAATAATAAAAGTTGATCAATGTTGAAAGGAAGGAAGGAAAGATGGTTTATTTTGCTAATATATCAGATGGTCTCAAACAGCTGGCCAGAATGTAGAATGTGAAGTAAGAAACATTACATCTGCACCCTAAGATCGATCTATTTTTAGATTCTCAGGTATTTGACTTATTTGCATACTTCTTCTAATTATGTTGGTACATTGGTATACTAGTATAGTACTATACATTAATATACACCATGTCTTTAGTACCGAGTTGAAATACTATCACGAATTTACACGAGAAGAACTAACCGCTTTCCCCATCCCCCACAGACCATCACATATAATTCAATTAATTGGGGTTGAAATGAATATGGGGGGGGGGGGGGGGGGTGGAGGTGTTACGAAATTGTACGAAATTAAACATTTTTTTTACGCATTTGCATTCTGATGGAACTTGACTTATCGATCACGATTTGAATAGCTAAATTTCGATTATCCTTTCGGATCTAAGACAAAAAACTAAAAATACAATTTCAAAAACCCGTTAAGACCCATATATCTCTCAAATTTTTAATCTTGAAGAGTTTGCCGTTATGGTTGAAAATATTTCAATAGGGAGGTATGGCAGGTATTGGATATATTTGGAATGATGGGGAGCATTTCAACGTTTTGTTCATTTTTTTTTTCGAATTACTAATCATAAAGTTGATTCAAACATAAGTTTTGGGCAAATATAATGTTAAGAGATTTGAAAATTTGGAATTTGGAATATGGAAAAAAATTTTATAAAGTTATAACAAATGTATGTCATGACCCAGTTTTTCACGATTTACCTCACAGACCTACTCACACCCTTACCTGAAATTGTGTTCTTACGCCATATTTCTCACGCAATGCCTGCTGTCTATTCACCATAGACAAGATAGCGCTATATACCTGTTACGACCGAATTCTCACTGCTACCACAAGCCAGGCATGTGATCGTGTGGATCTTGTTCAAGGTGATCAACACTGCACATTTACTTCAAATCATATATCAGAATATATATTTTTGCACATTATGCCTAGCTTACCGTTTGACTAATTGCTCTTTTCCCTTTTTCTAAATGCGTCAAATATAGAGATTAGAGTGGTTGAAATGTTACAAGTTACTATTCAACAGAAAACACTGACAATTTGATATTAGGGTGGTAGAAAGGGTTAGAGAACTGCTTCAGTGTTCCGGTATGCTGAACGTATGCCCCGCCTAGCAAATTCATCAGAGCAGAAACTAAGATACGGTAATTGACCATACTGTACTACCAACTGGAGAATGTTTATGATAAAACTGTTCAATGTTATATATAATGATAAGAAATATTGTTGGTATTAAAACCATATGTTGGTTAAAGAATAGAGATCAGTTTACAGCAACTATTATTTATTAGCCGTCATTAACCTATCAGTAATAATAGTATCTCCACCAATAGATCTTGTACATGTACCATTGATCTGCCATTGAAGGTTTCTTTAGCTCGATGAGGTAAGATGACACCAGACTTGCCGACCGAGATTAGAATCCATTAGGCTACTTACAATTTTGTCCGACTTCAAACTCTATTCCAGTCCGTGCAGCCATATTGGATAATTCGGGAACAGCAATGTCAAGAGATTTGGCTAATATACAGCTGGTGGAAAGGATCTCCCGTGAACTTAAGTTGTTATCCTTGTAATGAATGATTTTGTCTTTCCTTTTTTTTAATACTACTACTACATCTCGTCAGGTCATAACACGACCAATATACTGATTGAAATACGGACTGATATCTAATTTTCTGACCCATTTTTATGTGGTACCACAGTGTGCAATGACTGAAATTCTGTAATTAAACGTAATAGGCCAAAACTGTTCGATCTCCGACTGTTTAACACTAGTCTGCATGCTATCGAAACTATAACGTTATTAATATTACAGTAACAAAAACCAATAGCACACCGATCAACAGCTAGAACTTAACAAATAGGACCTGGCAGGGGAGATATTTTAAATAGCATACAAAGAAGGTGTATCAGTTCGTATGTTCATTATAGCTTTAAGCGATATATAGATTAATAGATTCGTGTCTGTAAGGTTAAAGGTCTGGTATGAGGGGCGTCTTTCATATCGTCTGAAACGCAGTTCTTCAATTGAACAGTATAAATATAAATCTCTCTACTTTGTTAAAACATTTAGTCTTTGAGTGGGCATGATAGCTTTAAACCTGTTTGAGACAAGTAGCCTCCGTAGGTGAGCGAGAGTCTATTTCAATGTCTGAAACGCAATTCTTTTTTAATAGTATGATCATAAATGATTATATTTCACAAACTTGAAAATATTTTTTTTATATGCATGATAGCTTGAAACTCATACAGCGTACTGAGATGATAATTGATAAAAGGGAAATATCTCTTGAACATTGACAGAAAGTGGGCGTCTATTGCATTGTCTGAAACGCAGTTTTTGAGAAAAATGGTAGAATTTTAACTGATCCCACTTCACAATACTTTAAACTGAAACCAATAATCCTATTGCTATAGTAACCAGACTAAACAATATTAAGAGCAGTTTGTTGGCCCTGGGTAGGTTAACACCTTTGTAACCCAAGTCCAAAACAAACAACGTATTAATATATAAATCTTTCAAACACCTTTCTCTTATAAACTTTAATAAAACTATCAACATTTCAACAAACTCATTCTTCTCGTGTTATCATAAGTGGTCTTCTTATCAGGTTCCGTATAGAAAGGTGCTGATGTACCACCTACAATGAAAACTATTTTTAAAATATTTTTTTTGGTTAACTATTCTTAAGGTTTTTTTTTTATGTCAAACACACATTTGATAAGCCATCATCTTGACCACGTTTATTAATAAGACGCAATGTAGACCACGTCTATTGATACAGTCGCCATCCAGACCATGTTTGTTAATACAGTCGTTATCTATACCATGTCTATTTATACAGTCGTCATCTAGACCACGTATATTTATACAGTCGTCATCTAGATCATGTCTATCAATACAGTCATCACCTGGACCACATCTATTGATACAGTCGCCATCTAGACCACGTCTATTGATACAGTCGCCACCTGGATCATGTCTAGCAATGCAGTCGTCATCTGGACCACATCTATTGATACAGTCGTCATGTAGACCACATCTATTGATACAGTCGTCATCTAGACCACGTCTATTGATACATTCGCCACCTGGATCATGTCTATCAATACAGTCGTCATCTGGACCACATCTATTGATACAGTCGCCATCTAGACCACGTCTGTTAATACAGTCGTGATCTAGACCACGTCTGTTAATACAGTCACCATCCAGACCCCGTCTATTGATACAGTCGCCACCTGGATCATGTCTATCAATACAGTCGTCATCTGGACCACATCTATTGATACAGTCGTCATCTAGACACGTCTATTCATACAGTCGTCATCTAAACCACGTCTGTTAATACAGTCGTCATTTAGACCACGTCTGTTACTACAGTCGTCATCTAGACCACGTCTGTTAATACAGTCACCATCTAGACCACGTCTATCAATACAGTCGTCATCTGGACCACATCTATTGATACAGTCGTCATCTACACCACGTCTATTGATACAGTCGCCACCTGGATCATGTCTAGCAATACAGTCGTCATCTAGATCAAGTCTATTCATATAGTCGTCATCTACACCAGATCTAATGACATAGAAAACAGTTGGTTATTAAGGCCTAGTTGAAAACAGTTCGTCATTTTAACAGGCATTAAATGAATGATATGATTTAAATGGGCAGGTAAAACAGTAAATAAATATAGAAGATGACAAGTATTTATTTTCCACCATAAAACAAAGATATTTCTCTTCCTTTACTTTCATTCCATGACATACTTATCATTCCTTAATTAACCAAGACACGCTTTTTCTTAATTCTAAGTAACGTGAAATGTATTTTTATTGCAATGTCTGAAGTTTGTGCCAATGTTCTGAAGTCACTGTACCATTAGTATTGGTCATAAATCTTAATTTTTAGTCGAATATCTTTGTATTACTGAAATTGTAGTCCAATATTTTGAAGCATAAATCCTGGATTGTAAATATTGCTTTTGTAAAGACTATGGATTTCAGCATTGAAAATAAATCAATCTAAATAGAATATTAGAGACACACGGGAATAAATTTGGGGGAATAACACACTTCCTTAATAACAAAGTACATAACGTACATAACAATTTACACGTGCCGTCATCAGACGAAATGAATCTAAATGTCGCTCAAATGTTTAATAGAATACTGGTTACTAAAAATTATTCATGGAGTTATTACTTACTTATTCAAATATCTACTGCAATTATTTCAGGGAGTTCATGGAAAGATTTCTAATCTGGTTTACAGGGACAGATAATACATTTTAAGGAGTAAACCATGAAATAATCAGAAATAATTTCCACAGCTTACCGTCGAAATTTGAGCCTTCAAATCCAATTGTATCCATAATTATCTACATGTATGCTTGAAAGTTATTTTAAAGATTCGTCATAGTAGGGGATTTTTTTAATTGAATATACGTTGATGACGTCATATGTGTAAAGTAGACTCAATCATCCTGTCCAACTTCATGTACACACGTCTGCCACGGAAGAAGTCTTGGTACCAAAGACTATATCACCGAGGCGTTTAACTCTCGGAAACACCAATTTCAGAAAGAAGATAAGCTTGTGAACGAAGTAAAAAAAAATAGTTGAATTTCTTGTTTGAGATCTATTGGAAGGATTTATGCGATTTCCGTACAGTATTAGAAGTTTTGATTTTATAAATTGAAGGTCCAAATCGACCCCCGAAAATGCTGCATGTCTTTAAGTCATACTCGTATCTGTTATTGGTCATGTCGTTAAAGGTGTTATCCTTGTAAAAAGTAGCACCATATGTTTCAAAGATCATCTGATTTTAATTTTTTCTCCAGCATATTGAAAGTCTATCAAATAAATCTATTTATAGCAACATTAAGGTAAATAAACAAATGTTTATTATCAGTTACAATGTTGATGATTTTAACAAATGAATCCTAAACCAACATCACTCTTAATGCAATACGAATTTTGTCACTATGATTTAAAAATTATATAATATTATTTCAAAAAAATAGTAGAGGCTTCTTAGGCTAAAATCAAACTTATTGTCAAGGGGCAAATTACATTAAAACAAAATACAGACACATAGAATAGCCATACTTTTACAGGCAGTTAATCTTGGGCAAATCTGAATGTTTCGTTTTGTCCGCTTGAAAGTGTAGTTACCTGCAGTAAAAACACCATTCGAAAATCTGTTTTATAATCAAATTTTATTGACAACATTATAATATCATAAATAGAATAAAGTTTTGAAAGAATTAGTTGAATGAATAAAATGACAAAAATCATACACATTTGAGCAAAATATTAACGATACTAAATATAGTGGTAAGGAACGAAGCCTGTTTGTACCACTCTAATGAATAAAATGACAAAAATCATACACATTTGAGCAAAATATTAACGATACTAAATATAATGATAAGGAACGAATCCTGTTTGTGAGCAAGTTGAAAAAAAATAATGGAAAACTACCTAGTTAAAGACTATTACTGCATTAAAAGAATTGCTATAACGTTATTATGGAATGCATGAAATAAATTCCTACATAAAGGGGAATAACTCCACAATTTGATGAATTGCAGCAGACAGATAGTAGCAGTTTTATTTTTAGTGCTCTTTTAGATAAGAAAAGAATTAAATCACAAAAATGTTAGAAAATTAAAGTGTAGATAATAATTTAGAGGAAAATAAAAGAAAGATAAGCAGGTATAAAAGTGGATTGAAGATAGACCTATATCGAAATAGACTATGTACACCAGATAATGATAGTAGCTTACAACTCACAGACTTTCTCATTAGGCCATAATTAAGTGGAGAAGAGAGGATTTTGACCTGAAACCAAGGGGGCAAAGTAACTACTTAATCACGATTACCTAGTCTTAATTTACCATTAAGGCTTTCAGAGGAAAAAACAATGATGGAATGAAGTCTTGAAAAATTGGACTATCGTGTGCAGTAAATCCCAGATGATTGATTGAAATTGACGACCATGTTACCATGGTAACCGTCAGCATTTCACTTTTGATGTTCATTTACCACGTGGTCGCGTGTTGATTAGAACTAAGACAAACTTTACCAAAGGTAAAAAGGTGTGTCGCTTCCTCTGGGAAATGCCGAATAATTAACGGTTTGTTTTGGTGCAGTAGGCTTAGGCCTAGCCTACTATCATTTTCCCAAGTAGTTCTCAGACGTTACGTCATAGCAAGACGGTTCAATCAGCGATGACCTTGACAGAAGGGGTCGCATTTCTGACCTTAATATTCACGGAATGGAATCTAAGTGATATTAACTTAATTAAACGAAAAGGTTAGAAGAATAAGTCTGAAGTTTTTACCTATCGCCAAAATATCAGTCATAAACCTACCATATTACCGCCACCCAAACATCTCAAATATTTTCCCACAGTTATAAGTTGGTATTTTAGCAAGTAATTTTAGTTTCCTACAGGTAGTTTACGACCTGCGAATAACGAAAATATCTCAACACAGTCTCATCATATTGTTATTTATATTACACAACAATGCTGTTATTTGTGTAAAATTAGCACCCATTTTTTATCTTCTCTAATTCAAATTCAAACTTTCCGTTCTATTATTTCACCACTGAAGAGGACTTTTGATTCTGATAGAAACAGTATGAAATCTAAAGTTTTGTCTGGGAAAATAGAGGTTAAAAAGTTACTTAAAGAAAATAGATAAACCTTGACCAGTCTGAAAACTAAAGTGGCGACAATCTACATTCGTCAACTTTCGGTAGTATCTGTAAAGCTGAATGCAACTGACGGAGAACCGCTCGAACAGTCCTTGAAATTTTTTTTATTATTGGGTGAGGGCCGACTCTCACTAATATCAGAATTTTTCTTACCTTGAGTGTAATCTAATGAAGAATATTTTCATATGAATTCAATTGTGGCAAGAGTGTATTGCTTATATCACCTTACCTTAATTTTAAAAAATGGTATTCCATTCGTGTCTTGAAGAAATTAGGAGGCAGGAATAATCACAAAAAATATTTCTTTCTAAAAGTACTTCAAATTGTTTTTAACGTCATTGTTGATCTTTATAAGTTTCAATTGCAAATAATAAATACTTGATATAATATTATATAAATAAATTAACAATTTTCCAATGCATAGTTTTGTACATTTTGTCCATGCCTATTCTATGGAAAGGCTCCAGACAGCCGGACACATTCCGTTTGGTTTTTTTACACCTTCAAAGCGAATTCCCTCTTTCAACCATTCTGCTGTTTATCTATGTGGTCAATTTATCAATAATTAGGAAGCGCTGAATATAAACAAAAGTGTGTTATCTGTTTTTAAGAGGGATATGATTTGAAGCGTGAATTCTATCTACTTTCTGATATATCTCATTATCGTTCACCCAGAACTCGAGATCTATGTACATACCTCGTTACAGCACGCGTTGGTAATAACCCGGAAAGGTCACTCACTTCAAGATGACCACAGAATTTAAATTAGTGCCGATAGGTGATGCGGATGCCAAGAGGAGAGATATAGTTTGCGCTTATAACTTTTTCTAATATCAAAACATATAAATATAGTTCGGTCTTGCAAATGAACCAATAATAAGTCCATCTAAAATTTTATAACAAGACTTATTCTGTAACATGACAGTAAAAATGTTATCCTGCAAGCGTTAAAGTCATGGATACATAATTATAATGAATAGGTAGGGGCTCATAACGTCACCTTGTTTACCGCTTTATTCATTATTAGGATACTGTTCCTAAAAAAAGTATGCGTCCGTACTATTTAGAAATTCAACGCTAAAATATAATTCTAATTAGATAAAACGTAAAGTTTGTATGGATCAATATTTTCCTAATCCCAAATAATATTTTCAGCGTTTTATTTCAGAGCAATAGTTAATATAACATTATTAAAGTACTATATATCCTAATTTTGATTTCAGCAAACAATTGTAATATCAATCAAGCTTCGTTTCAAATAAAATATTTTCACGATAAGATCTCATAATGATGAGAAATAAGAAATCAACAGAATTCTTATCTATTAGACCAATAAAACGGTGGTCATAGGTGCGAATAACTTGAAATGATATTATTCTACCTGTCAGAGATCTCGAGATAAAGATGATTCCTGACATCAGTTCAAATCATCAGTCAAAATTAAGTCCAATCTGTTTTATTCTAATAAAATAATAATTTTCTGCTTTATTAATCTTAAAAAACACAGGAAAAAGTCACGAAAACTGTTTCTAGACAGAACAATGTCCAAAATGCACTTTTCTCTGGATCGGCTACATTTTTGTAATAATATATTTAATATTATGTACAGATGTACATTATTATGCATTATGGAATATTAAACGATTGTTGATAACAGTGTCAAATAGGCAAAAAATAAGTGTTATACTTTTTTTCTGATTTGACAATATATCAAATATTATGTATATTGTATGTATTATGTTAAACCCTTGTTGATAACTGTTTAATTTCGCTATTTTAGCGGGGTTGAAAAACTCGATCGCATATTGGCTTCAGGTATTCGGCAAGCGTAAGCAAGAAATTAAAAGCTTGCGCATGAGAGAGATTTAAACTGAATGAAGAATATGAAGAAAAACAGGTGTTTGAAAGAACAAATATGAGTTTTATGGGGAACATATGTTAGATTGATTACTTGTGCTGTTAGATTATATCATACTTTCTTTGTCTGTAGCATACTTTCATAATAACATACGTATTCTTGGAGGTATAATAATGGATCCCAGATACTTCTTCGTTTGTTGAGTTGCAAACGGGATTAGACTACAGGAAACAGACTTGCGTCGTCTACGATTGAATAAAAATAAATCTGACTGAATTTATTTATTTATTTAAACTATTCGGATTAAGGTTTGTGAAAAGATGTACTCATTCAAATACTGCCTCCTCTCGATTCCGTAACGAATGCATGAAGACCACCATATCATAAATATATAAGATGGTGCTGTTGATCTATTTAATGTAGGTAATAAATAAAGTAAGAAAAACAACGAGAAATGGCTTGTATTTATTGTATACGATGATGTGGATGGTATTTTGATCTGGTAATTAGTAAAAAAGGTGGTAATTTTATCACTTATTATTATGTCTATGAGCTCGATAGACTTACACTGTAAAAACTTAAAACGAAAAACCAGAATTGAAGGCATCTTACCTGTGTTTCAGATAGCTAGGGTTGTCATCATCATGACAGTACTGATTACATTATGACATATATATCAAATTTTACAGAGGCTAGATAAATGATGCATAATTTTTAAGTAATAAAGTGGCCATTATCATATATGCATAATTTCACAAACAGCTATAGTGTAGACATTTCTGTTTAATTTAAGAGTCAATTAGGTTTCAATATGGTACTGGCGTATTCTTTCACAGTTAGCTAGTTGCCATGATGGCATTTATGCATATTTTACAGCATAGTTTGTCAATGTGAATGCAATGTATATTTGAAAGTGAACTAGGATGCTATTTATAAAATTTTACAGAGGTTAGGTTGCCATTAAATTGTTATTGTACATTAAGCAAACAGCTATAGGGACATGGTGACAATGTACAATTTGTCAGATAACAAGGTTGTCATTATAATATTAATGTTTATTATACAGGCAGCTAGGTTGCCATTATAATAATATTAATATATATTATACAGGCAGCTACATTGCCATTATAATAATATTAATGTATATAATACAGGCAGCTAGGTTACCATTATAATAATATTAATGTATATTATACAGGCAGCTAGGTTGTCATTATAATAATATTAATGTATATTATACAGGCAGCTACATTGCCATTATAATAATATTAATGTATATAATACAGGCAGCTAGGTTACCATTATAATAATATTAATGTATATTATACAGGCAGCTAGGTTGTCATTATAATAATGTTAATGTATATTATACAGACAGCTAGGTTGCCATTATAATATTAATGTATTTTATGCAGGCAGCTAGGTTGCCATTATAATAATATTAATGTATATTATACAGACAGCTAGGTTGGCATTATAATATTAATGTATATTATACAGACAGCTAAGTTGCCATTATAATAATATTAATGTATATTATACAGACAGCTAAGTTGCCATTATAATAATATTAATTAATATAATACAGACAGCTAGGTTGCCATTATAATAATATTAATGTATATTATACAGGCAGCTAGGTTGTCATTATAATAATATTAATGTATATTTTACAGACAGCTAGGTTGGCATTATAATAATATTAATGTATATTATATAGGCAGCTAGGTTGCCATTATAATAATATTAATGTATATTATACAGGCAGCTAGGTTGGCATTATAATAATATTAATGTATATTATACAGACAGCTAGGTTGCCATTATAATAATATTAATGTATATTATACAGGCAGCTAGGTTGCCATCATTCTTGTATTTTTTACAAGATGATGTACAGTGCAAGTAGTGATAAAAACACGTGTTCTACTTTAGTTTAAGAGAAGAATTCTAACTATGTATATATTTCAAGGATAAAAAAGACTATTCCAGTCTCTACAAATCAATTATAAATGATTACATCTGCAGTTGTTTTTAAAGACGTTTTAAGTTTCTATCTTTAAAACTTATTTGGTATATTTGTAAACCGGAAGTAACTTGATAAATTGTAGCTTTCATGTTTTACATATTTTAATTTAAAACAACCCCAATGTCTTATTTCAAAAGCGGACCATGGAGAAGGGGCACGATTGATTGGCAAAAAAATACATACATGCATAATAGCACACTCTAGAATACCATAAACCACAATGATCGTCTCAATCTGTTATGACATATCAATCATCCTAATAAAAGTAACAATACGTTGCTACGATACCTAAATTTCATTTTTATACGCCCACACGTGAGATGGGCGTATATTGTAATTACCCCGTCGGTCCGTCCGTCCGTCCGTTCACATTTGGCTCGTGCTCACTCTACAGGCTACAGTTCTTTATGGATTCTTTTGATTTTTATTTTGTATGTCAATGTTGTTATGAAGATGATCCCTATTGATTTTCATGATGATCGGATAATTTTCCACCGAAATATCGTGTCTGACTTGACGTTTTTCTCTATTAGCTATATTGTGCAAATCGTGCTCACTCTACAGGCTACAATATTTTACAGATTCTTTTGATTTTTATTTTGTGTGTCAATGTCATTATGAAGATGCATGATCCCTATTGATTTTCGTGATGATCGGATAATTTTTCACCGCAATATCGTGTTTGACTTGACGTTTTCTCTATTAGCTATATTGTGCAACTCGTGCTCACTCTACAGGCTACAATTTTTTACAGATTCTTTTGATTTTATTTTGTGTGTCAATGTTGTTATGAAGATGATCTCTATTGATTTTCGTGATGATCGGATAATTTTTCACCGAAATATCGTGTCTGACTTGACGTTTTACTCTATTAGCTATATTGTGCAACTCGTGCTCACTCTACAGGCTACAATTCTTTACAGATTCTTTTGATTTTTATTTTGTATGTCTATGTCGTTATGAAGATGATCCCTATTGATTTTCATGATGATCTATCGATTTTCATGATGATCGGATAATTTTTCACCGAAATATCGTGTCTGACCTGACGTTTTAGTCTATTAGCTATATTGTGCAACTCGTGCTCACTCTACAGGCTACAATTGTTTACAGATTCTTTTGATTTTTATTTTGTATGTCAATGTCATTATGAAGATGATCCCTATCGATTTTCGCGATGATCGGATAATATTTCACCGAAATATGGTGTCTGACTTGACGTTTCACTCGATTAGCTATATTGTGCAACCCTGTAGTCACTAAAGACTGTTTAATCATTTCTGACAGCTGCCAGTGGGCGTATGTTACCTTGCCTGGCAAGCTATCTTTGTAGATTGTTGTAGGAATGGTTTCAAGAAAGTGAAAAAGGGCATACCATATCAACATAACAGTTGGCACATGAGGTTTACCTGAGAAAAAGATGAAGTGAAGTAAATGAAGGCCAGTGGAAATACTTGAATCAGGTTTTAACAAGACAAGAATGCACCCTGTTTGTCTGCCATATTGACTGGAGTATTAGTTAAATAGTTCATCATTAGATCCATTTAATATGTGGACAAATACAACAGGGATTAATCAGACCCTTACGCCGTTTAGCTGTGACAACCGGAATGACAGTCAAAGAGAAACGATTAGCTTGTGTTTAATACACAGTTGGTACACAACGAGAATCTTTTTAAAGTTTTAAAGCAAAGTTTATTTTGACCCTACACCCTTTAGAAAAAAAATAAAAGCCCCCAAAGGTTTTACCGAAAGTAGAATGAAGCAAAAAATACAGGTTTACTTTGTTTATTCCGATATGAATGAAGATAGCTTTATTATCATTAAAGGGTCTGATTTGAAAAAATAATAATAATCATAATTATAGAAAAATTAAATGAAAAAAAGATTATCTTTTCTATAAAAATGAGATCTAAAGCCTTTAATTGCTATGTTTTCTATTGAAACTATAAGTGATTTGGGTAATTTGTCCTTAGAGGATACTATTATATTATTGTGTTGTAAAATTTCTCAAACTAACTGTTGACACTAGAGGGTTAATATTTTGTCGGGACAGTAAAGCGTTAAAGAGATTTAACCAATTCTGTTAAATATGGCACGATTTTGTCAATATTTTGTAAAGAATGTAAAAGTATGGTTGGTCTGAAGAATGGCAATAGAAAGAGATTATGTTTAGAGGCAGTTGAATAAAAATGTATATTATTGTCAAGTCTCCTAATGGCATCGTTTTCACTTTTCAAAATCCGATTTCCTTTTTAGTACTATATACGGAATCGTACGGAAGCGTATTGAGGCCATTCATTTTTATTTTTTGAATTTTCAAGTTAGTATGTTGAATTTTCAAGTTAGTATGTTGAATTTTCAAGTAAGTAATTTGAATTTTCAAGTTAGTAACTTGAATTTTAAAGTTAGTATCTTGAATTTTCAAGCTAGTATGTTGAATTTTCAAGTTAGTATGTTCAAGTTAGTATGTTGAATTTTCAAGTTAGTATATGTTGAATTTTCAAGTTTGTATGTTGAATTTTCAAGTTAGTAACTTGAATTTTCAAGTTAGTAACTTGAATTTTCAAGTTAGTATCTTGAATTTTCAAGCTAGTATGTTGAATTTTCAAGTTAGTATGTTGAATTTTCAAGTTAGTATGTTGAATTTAGTAACTTGAATTTTCAAGTTAGTATGTTGAATTTTCAAGTTATTATCTTGAATTTTCAAGTTAGTAACCTGAATTTTAAAGTTAGTAACTTTCAAGTTAGTATGTTGAATTTTCAAGTTATTATCTTGAATTTTCAAGTTAGTAACCTGAATTTTAAAGTTAGTACT